AGTAGCCTCAGTGATGATGAATTTTGTTTTTTGACGTAATTTCCCATAAAAATTGTTTATTAATTTGCAATTTCTTCAAAAAAAAAAAAACTCGCAAATAGAGATACTTCATTTAAACCATCAAAAACGCACAAACAGTGATGATGAGTTTTTTGGTTTTTTTGACGTTATTTTTCATAAAAATTGTTTTATTACTTTGCAATTTCTCCAAAAAAAAAAAACTCCCAAACAGGAATACTTTCATTTGAAACCATTAAAAACGCACAAAAAGTAGCCTTAGTGATCATGGACTATTTTTTACTAAATTTCAGCAATTTCACAGAAAAACAGACTGCATTCGAACATTTCTTCTTGTGCACCATGATGTTCAGACTGATCCTGCTTCTCCTGTTCTATTGTTTCGGATATTTTTTTTTTTTGTAAATTAACCTTTTTGCGTAATTTCTGAATGCGATTTGTGATTTCACGCGCCAAACCTTCATCTTGTAATGCTTCATCTCCAGTTGTATCGATTATCACAATTGTCTAAAACTGTTAGCTTAATATAAACATACGCAAATATACTTTGAAAATTTTAATCAGCTGAATTCATAGCGCCTTCATCCTCGACAACTGTTTCGATCGGTGCAGCAAGCTTGCTGGCAATCCTGACGTTCGTTTCGTTTCCTGACAAGTTCAAGTACTTTGCACGCCATTTTCAACGTGAGATTGGTAAATTCACGGTAGCAACTTTATGTGCGATTTGAAAATTCAGTTTAAAAATTCATGGGACAGAGATATTTTAAAATTTATTCCACATTTCTGAATTTGAACAATGCCATAGATCACACCTGCGGATTCGCTTGTCTGATTATGATGCGCAATAATTGGACTACCTCGCACACACTCATACACACACGCACACACACACGCGCACGCACAACCATGAATAAATATAATGAGAATCCAGGCAAGGAAAAAATTACCTGGCCATCGGAATGTGCTGCACACTCTTCCCCGCTGGCGTTCATGACATTGCTTATGTATGACAAATTCACTTCTTCATGTGACAAATCATAGCCCAAAACAGTAAGCACACCTTTTTCAGCAAACGATTCCAATTCTTCATCAGTTACTTTATCCTAAATTTAAATGCCCTTAATAATCACTAAATATTTCATTTTCTACAGCACGTGTCTTCGTACTTGGCGCAAACGCATGGGATAACTGAATTTGAAATCTTTAGGTTGCACGTAGATGGAGAATATCCTTGCAAAATTTCAGCTTTCTATGCTGGTTGGTACTCGAAATCATGTTTCGTTTGCAGCCCAGAACCGATGACATGCCAGTTTGGGGTCCAAACGTATTGAAAAAACGGCTTGCGCAAGACATGCAATCTGTCATCCCTGCTACATGACCTTTCAAAATGTCGCACAGTTTTGTCGCACATTAACAGCCTTACTATCTTTTCCATCATAATCTATTAAACTGATCTCACCCTAGGTTAAAATTTATGAACTATGATCTTTCTAGATTTTCCACGGTCCCGACTGGGCGCTTGTTTCAGATATTACAATTCGGTCTACCAACGGCAGCAAATTATTTCGTCAATTTTGCCTTAACCTACTCCGATCGTTCCACATTTTTACTTCTTTGGACCGTCCACTTATTATTCAGCGTTCTAACGGCCATAACTTATTATTCCACGTTAAATTATGCAGTGGTTCGCAGCTCATCGGCAAAAAAATGATATTTTGGATAGCAGGAAGTTAATAAAGAATAGGTAAAGTTAAGTATTTCCAGAGTAACAAACGGAAAGCATTAATTATCAGCATATAATAATTCATAAGAAAAATGTTGTCCCAATATAAAATAAAGGGAAAAAAAGTAACTGAAGAGGAATGTTTCGGTCCATTAAGTCGCATACATTCTCGTCCATCATCATAACTGGATTTTACTGACAGTTAATATCCCAAATCGATAAAATAATTTGCAAAAAAAAAATTGTTGCTTACTTTTAAAGCAAAAATTTTAAAAAAAAAAAAGAACTATTAACTGAAAAAACAAATACCTTAAGATAGTTGATAACTTTTTTCATGTCTCCTTTCAATTTTGCACCAAGTACACGGAAATTCGGCGTAGCTTTCAGATGCAAACCATACTTTTCCTTGTCTTGCGAGACTGTTAATTTTCGCACATTCACTTCCGACAAGATGTATTTTTGCAGCGAAATAACATCATCCAGAAATTGCTTACTGCGATTTACGACCACCAAACTCTTCAGTGGATACTGCAAAAACTCAATTTTGGGCATTAATTGTTTTGTGAAGAAATTACGTCTGAATCAATACATCGAAAACAAAGACTATACAGTGTATTTGTACGCAAGGGATCAGATTTCACACAGACGATATCGATTTGAAAGAAGTTCTTTTTTTTGAAAGAAGTTGACAGTTACATCTATCTTGGCTGAAAGGTAAATATTCTTCAACATCTTCAACCGATGTTCGTACGAAGCAAGACTGCCGGCTGGCACAACCTTCCCAGTACCCTTGATGCCTTTTAAGTGCTGAACCGCATGAACTGTGCACAATACCACTGTGTTGAAGGCAATGACATGCAGATGAGAGAAGTGGCCACTAATAATGGAAAGCTCAACCCGATGGATTGTTCCAAAAGCATTAGCAATATGATTTCGTCTACCGATTCTCTGAGTGGCTATTATATTTCTGTTGGTTAGCAATCCTAGGAAAGCCGCACCACTTTACGTGACGATTTAGTGTGCATCATTCTTTTAAATTTTTGAATATCTTAGAAGAAGCAGACAGACTGATTGCAGCAGCGACTCACTTTAAGAGGAATTGTCTTTCTTTCCCGCAAAAATCGCACAAGATCAATCACTGTTCTCATCGCGGCAACACTTCGCTCCAGCGATTCACAGATAAGATCATCCCTGAAATCACACATAAAATGGGGTACAATTTATAACAAAAAACAGTATCTTTTTTTACGGTTCGGATATTCTTACAGACTTGTAGAAATACGTAAAATAACTGTGCCTTTCATAGGCTGAGAAATACAGGGGCACAAAAAAGAACATTGTGCATAACTGTTCCGAAAAAAAAAAGATAAGAAAACAAAGGCCATGACAAAATATTACTGTACTAACTGAACAGCAAAGAAGTCCCTCCAACAAAAACATACAAAATCTCCAAGCTATGATGAAGTACGCTGAGGAAAAAAAGAAGGGCTGACTAAAACACTAAAATTATGTAATTACTGAGGAAGGTAATATAAAAAAATACATCTTTAGTACTATTTGAATTTAGACTATTAAAAAAAATTCAACGCATTATGTTACGTTAATTTCCGTTCCACAGATATTCATTTAATAAACAATTCTTCATAAATGCTGCAAATTTCAGTTAATATTTCCAATATACTTGCACTACTAGCCAACGTTCAATTTTAAAATAGCATTTAGGAATCTGCTTAGGCCTAACAAGTATCCTTAGCATCTGAAATCGCCAAAAAAAAAACTATCCGGTCGCTTGCTTTGGAAATTCAGTATCCCTAGTTTCACGAAATACGCCCACCCACTGAGATATGCCGGACCTTTCGGTTTTCAGCAGCATGTCCTCGTTGAATATTTAGCGGGTCACATCTCCTGACGTTTACCGCACCAGCCAGTTCAGCAAAAAAAATGTTAAAAATATCGCTTTTTTAAATCAGCACGTAGCACAGCCAGTGGTCTTTTCCGAAAAAGAGAAAAGCTTGATCTGCTGTACTTTTTTGACACTGAAACCTAAATGACTCAAAAGAATGTTAAGAGAGAAATTATGATTCGAAAAACATGAGAAACTGAGGCAGGAGAATATGTTTGGAGTCAAATCTCATGCGCAAAAATTACATGAAAACATACCGTGGCTGGGGAATTGATTCGAAATGCACTGATTCACTACCGGAAGAAGAAATATGCCGAAGATTTTGCCACAAATGATCGCAGAAGAAGGGTGTAAACGGTGCCATGAGACGAACAATCAGCAGCAGTACACGACCCAGCGTTGATAAGCTCAGCTCACACTGTTCAACACCAGCATCACCCTGAAAAATCAGGCAATATAGAGCAAGCATGGGGGTGCCATACAGAATATGGGTAGGGGGTACATACATAGGGGGGGTACATACATAGGGGGGTACATACATACAGAATATAGGTGCTTCAGCAACAGTGTCGAGTACTACGGCCCTTGGTGTAGTGGTCTAGCACGTTGCATTCGGATGTGAAGAGGAGTGGTTCGATTCCTTCCCGGTCCCAACTTTTTTTAGCAAAAAAGTGCATCGTCCGCAAAGCACTGATACAATCTCAGCAACACATTTTTTGCACTGCTATTTTAGCACATAACACATAAAACCTGCGACTTTACTGTAATCGCTGGCTTTGCGCCAGAAATTCAAGCAGCTAGAGTTTCTGGTATTAAAACAAACGCAATAGCAAATTCTTCAAGGACAAAAATCACCTCAAAAGGCAAAAAAGTAATTTTCTCCACTATAGATCTGTTATTCAGCAATCATCGAAATAACTGAGAAACGAACCCTGATTCGTAATCGATTCAGACGTATGTACCAATTTGTCAGGGTGTCGAAATATTTGGTAAGCGGCCCGACTACTGCATACAGATGATATTCGCTCATCTCCTTTTGCACAAAATTCAATAAACTGTTCGTAAATGACAATATCCAGCTGTCCATCACATTGCTAGCTCGATCGATTAATGCAAATTCTTTGTGGCAGAACTGAAAAGCGGCCATTTTGTTACCGGAAATTGCAGAAGTGCTGGTTTGATCACACATACACACACACGCACACACACACACATATACACACACATACACACATTACGAAAATGTAGCATAACACCACTAACATGGAATAACCACAAATAACAACTCAGGCGGCCTTCGTATTTTTTTTGATATCACACATAAATTTAATATTTTCCACTAAGTAATTTCCCTTGCTTCTTTATGCAATGCCATTATTTGTTTTCAATATGAATATTATATATATTTTTATGTCCTCGAAACAAATTACATATCAGATGCCAACTTAGCCACGCTTTTTACAATTTCAAAATTTGCTTAAAAAAAGAAGAAACTAAAAACAGTACAACAAACAAGACAATTTTTCAATCACTGTTAGAGGATTTGGCCGGAAAGCTTGCATCAAATAAGCTCCTTGCAATGGCTACCTTAATTTAAACTAGGCAAAGAACACCTAATGTAATGAAGCATCGAGATGTGAACTCATCGAAAAAAACTTTGGCGGGCCATTATGCGGCTAGCACGCTTATATGTGGGATGGGTTTCAGTGCATCAACACCTACTTGGATGGGGAACATCACCCTAACATTTTAGCGTTCTAGCTTCTCAAATTTCCGAGTTACGAACTCATGGAAAAAAAATTTACAATAACAACAGGCCCTATAGCCTTTTAGTACTCAACCTATCTTCCTCTTTTACAATGAAAAAAGAAAAAAGAACCAAAAAAAAAGAACATACATCTTCATAATGTTGTACATTTTGTACGAAAAATCTGTAGGCATGATACCAGGGTAGAAGAACATCTTTTAGGACATCTTTGACGCCACTTTCACGGAAACGTAAATTTTCTCCTCGAACCACTGGCGAATTGATCAAATACACTCGTAAAGCATCAGCACCATAAGTTCCAACAACCTACAAAAATTATGCCCAATATTTTCGTGAAAATTTGATATAAATACGATCCATTTGAATGTCTACATGGGACTACGTGGAAGAAATAAGCTCAAAACAGAGAAGAATGTGGCCGATGCTAGCTGCAACATCAATTTCGATGAAAAAACAATCAAAGAAATAAAGTAATGGATTTAATCTGCCTTCTACCATTCCCCGCATCTACGTAAAAACGGGGGTTTGTGGGATTGTCGCCACTTCGAAGCAAATAATTATTGCAATGGTCGAAGTAAATAATTATTATGAAAGTGAAAAATCACAGAAAAATTCCTTTTTTTCGATTATCACTTAAATTCGAGGCCAAATCTGTCGCTTATTTTACCGCAAATGACTATCCGGGTCAACTAAAGAGCACTTTATTCGAACGAAAGTGGAAATTACGCCAAAAGATAATCCACCCAGCACTAGCTCATAAAAAAAGGTACACAGAAGAGCCAAAGAAAATATCAATCATAGCTCTTTAGGGAATTTAAATTAGAGTATTTTATGGATACCTCCATTGGATCTGGGTAATTTTTCAATCGTTTTGACATTTTTGAACCATCCGAAGCGAGTACTAATCCATTGCAGACGAGATTTTTGAACGGTGGTCGATCGAAAAGTGCCGTTGATAGCACTAGAAGTGTGTAGAACCATCCACGGGTTTGATCGATTCCTAAAATCGTTTTAGAAGTTTATAATTTGAATAAATAAGTTTTCAAAAAATAGGCAAAACACTAAGCAAAATCAATTTTAACTTCGCCAGTAGGGCCTTTCTACGATTTGTTCATTTGTCATGAACAAAAATTGGTAGCGGCAAATGATAGGAACCCCAATACCAGCTTATTTTTAAACAATCTTCGAAAACGAAGCCATCGCAACTTGACCAGTTGGCCGCTGCTGGTACGTTCTTGGACTACTTTTGAATGGTTTTGTTTGTATTCTGAGGTAATTTCACCACTTTCGCCTGGACTAACGCTGTGAGTAAGCTTCGATACTACAGAGGAAAATCTC